AAAAAAAAAAAATTAATAAATCATATTTCTTGGAAAAGAAGAATGATACCTGGCATGGTTTTCAAGGACACGAAGAGGAGAGGAAGCAAAGCGAAGATCCCACATCTGGACCACTGGTAATCTATCATCTTCAGAGGCAAGTACCATCTGTGTAGCAACATCAGGATGCCATGCCAAGCCAGAGCAATGCATCTGCAGATAATTAAAACTCATATTTTATCAATCATATCACTTTATGAAAAGCCAAAATGAACTTGAGGAATATTTCTTTGTTAAAAGCATAGAAAATACCAGGTTTTGTATACTATCAAAAACAAAAACAAAAACGAATGCTACTAAATTTCATTAAACAGTTTTACAAGTAAATGGTTAAATGTTTTCAACATATCTAGCTATCTACTATAAAAGTCAATCTGGGGCCCTCCCTGGTGGCGCAGAGGGTTAAAGCACAGCACAAAGACGCTTAGACCACTTCCGCATGAGTTCAATTCCCGCCTTCCCAGGAGGAGATCCACATGGCTTGGCAGACATCTCCTGACCCGCCCGCTGCTCCCCTCAGCAGTGTACTTCGTCGATCTGCCTGTTCTGCTCCCCACTCTGTCTCTGGTAAAGCTTCTTGCACCCCTGAGCCTCTGGCCTGTACCCCAGTTCTGTATGCACAAATAAATAAATCTTTAAAAAAAAAAATACTGAAGAAATATGAATTAAGTTGAGTTCAAAGGAAATCTGCCATATTACCAATTAAATTTAATGCTACTAAAACACAGAAAATTCTTTTATCTTTTAGAGGATGCACACAATCATTAAAAACAAAACAATAAATCACTTAATTTCTCAAAAATATTTTCTTTTAATTAAAACAAAAACATAAAAATAAAACAAACTTCAATCATTTCTTAAAACTGAATGATCAGCAGATTCTTCCTAAATATGGTGACCATAACAAAGATCAAATTGTATGTCATGCATTGTCCCAAAGTTTGATATATTGAAATATGAATGTTTGATATATTAGCACTTAGAGCTATTCATTGTTATTTTTAGATAAGTAAAAAATCACTTTTTACATATTCATAATAATATACTCTCTAGCTACCATGTTTTGGTAAAGAAAATCAGTTGAGTAGTGCTTAACCTAACAACAAACCACTTTCAGTAACTTGTCATGATAAAGTAAATTCTGAAAGTTAATAAAAATCTGACAACTAAAAGTACTAAGTAAATATGTTTTTAAAATTAATAAATCAGGGGCCCTCCCCGGTGGTGCAGCGGGTTAAAGCACAGCACTGAGAAGCTTAAGCCACTTCCGCATGAGTTCCATCCCTGCCTGCCCCGGAGGAGATCCACATGGCGGCAGACCTCTCCTGACCCGCCTGCTGCTCCTCTCAGCACTGTACTTCGTCGATCTGCCTGTTCTGCTCTCTGCTCTGTCTCTGGTGAATCCTCTCACCCACCGCCTCTCTGGCCTATACCCCAGTTCTGTATGAATGAATATATAAATCTTTTTTAAAAAAATTAATAAATCGGCCCTCCCTGGTGGCGCAGCGGGTTAAAGCGCAGCACTGAGAATCTGAAGCCACTTCCGTGTGAGTTCGATTCCGTGTGAGTTCGATTCCCGCCTGCCGCCTGCCCCGGAGGAGACCACATGGCGAGCCAGACCTCTCCTGACCCGCCCGCTGCTCCCCTCAGCAGTGTACTTCG